ACCTTCTCTGACAGTAAGAGACTCAGCTAAAGCCCTGTTAACTGCACCCACAAGAGATGGGGTCTTACGGGAATTACTCACAGATTACGCTAAATTACTCATTTGCTAAAACGCACAGTTTGGCAAATCGGTTCATCATTAACTGGGCGTAACTGATTCGGAAGAATTTTGTGCGTTCATTTCGCTGCGTGAGTCAACTTTGCACATTTGCAGTTCTAAATAAAAACTGCTCAGGTTGGCGACGGACTTTCCACTTGTCACCCTCGTACCACAACGTCTTTCAGTTAAAAGGGTGAATGTATGTTGTCTTATTAAGAGTTGAGACATATTGTCCAACTTCCGATCAGGGCAAACAAGAAAGAAAAAAAAGAAAAGAAAAAGAACGTACTTGTTTCTTTAAGTTTTGCTCCTAAAATCTATTAATTGTTGGCTTAAAAAAATAATCGTGAGCTGTACAATTCAACATAAGGCAGAGTCTTTCAGACTGAGTCCTGAAGACAATGTGAGGTCGGTCATCAAAGTCTGGCCTGCTGCATTTGTCCTCAATGTGCATCAACTGAATCTGAATGCATGAACATGAGGTATATATTTTTAGATTCAGTGTAACTTAAGCCTGGATTATACTACAGATGCAGACACCACAGATACGTAGTTGTTGTTAATATACCACCCTGGTATACTTGGTGTACGTTTAATTGCACTAACGTACCAAAATAAAAACAAAAAAATATCAACAAGCCAAAAAAGTACATGGGGCTTATGTTGGCAACATCACATTTTCTGTTTTCTGACGTATGACGACACAACAGCGAGAGTATTTTCTTTGTTATTTCATTAAGCTCTAACTAGATTAATCGTATCTATCAACAGAAATACGGGTTTTGTCTGTTTCAAGGAGAAGAAGATGTCCCAGTTTTGTACGAATGACATTTGACTGTAGTAAGCAGTAATGCTAACTAGTTAAAATGGGTAACAGAAGTGTTGCTCAAACAACAGTTATTGAGCACACGTGTTCAAACCAGGACTTAGCAACGGCAGCTGTATCAATTTGGCAGCTCTAGGGGTGAAGAGTTTGACATGACAGGAGTGAACAAAATGCATGAAGGCTGCACCAGTCTGCTCAGATCCCTCAGGGGGACGCTTGCATGTAGCCCAGAATTTGTGCCTGCATGGTCACTATGATACAAGGGACAATAGCAGAGTCTTCTAAGTGACTACATGGCCGTGGTGGAGGTACCTGTCTGTGTACTCACCTTTAAGTCACTATAGCAAAGAGTTAAAGATAATGTTATACTTTCCACACCAACAAGTACACAAGGGTCTGCTATAGGGTCCATGTCATGTTCCCTCCATGGGGTTGGGCATGCAGCCAGCAGCTACACTACAAGGCAGTAGTGCACATGTTAGGCAGTTGTTTGCATGTACAGAATACATAGATGCTTCTCTATGGCACATCTATAGAACGAAGCTCAGTGGACTCCAGGTGGACCCTATGCCTAAGCCTTGATTTTACTCTCTTTACTCTTACATAAGGCCTTTTATACTTAAAGTTTTTAGTTTTATTTCCAGTGTTTCCTTAGGGGGGGTCCTCCACACTGGGGGCTGTGTCCGGTCTGCTACTGGGGGTGCTGTCTGCGGGTCCTTTCGGCCGGCTGATTGGGGGGCTCCCCACCTCGTTGTGGGGATCCCCCTG